CACAAGCTTAGAAGTAGTTGGCTTGGGCTCATACCAGCGTGAGACCCGCCACCCATTACGGGTGTGATTTTTAGGCAAGTTATTTATTTTCTCGCGCTCGGTGCACAGCTGTACAAAGCTGAAGTGATGGGCAGACTTTGGTAGGACGCTCTGTTGCTCACGGCTGAAAGCATCTGAATGACACAAGGAACAGACGAAGACAGAGAGTCCGCTTGAATGGCAACTGCATGCTGGTGGGGAAGATGTGATGAACTGGTGAAGGGAAAAATAAGAATTTCAGAGACTGAGAAGCTCTGTGGAAATACAATGGGTAAGGAGATGAAGAGTGACCGATGAGTGGGAAAACGGTGCTGGGCGTGGTGGCCCAAGGAGGACTTTCCCAGGATCCTCTGAGAGAGAAAGGACTTGCCATATGAACACCCAGGGGGAGAGCATTCCTGGCAGAGGAAACGGCAAGTGCCAAGGCCCTGTGGTCGACACACTACAAGGTGGCTTCTGTGCCTGGAGTGGAGGAAGAAAGATGTCAGATGGGGTTGGAGATGCCGGCAGATTTAAGAGGCTCATGTAGAAGCCCCATCGAGACTGTGACTTGGAGTCAGTGTTGTCCATGGAGAGAAAGAGAAGCGGGCAGATTTAGGACGTGACTGCGAAAGTGGAGCTGGATAGGGCCTGCAGATGGACCAGGTGTCAGGAGGGGGTGAGCGGTAGATCCCTGGCTTCTGGACTGAGCAGCAGAAGTGGGCTCCGTGACGCCGTTTACTAAGTCCTAGGAAAGGCGGGAAGGACAACGCAGACAATATTTAAAGAGATCATGACTGAAAAGTTCCCAAACACACTCACGAAATGCATAATAAAAACAAGCAAAAAGCCCACAGGTAGGCCCCTCATAAAAAAAAAAAATGGATGGAAGACAGAGAGTGACATCTTCAAAGCACTTACGGGGAAAAGGCATACCTCTGAAGGGACAGCTGGAAGACCAAGAACTGACTTATCTACAGACAGAAGAAAAGGCAGAAGACTGTGGAACGAAAGGAAAGAAAATAACTCCCAACCCAGAGTTCTATTCCCAGAGAAAATAGCCCTGCAAAGTAAAGACATTTCCAATCAAATGAAAGGGAAGGGATGCATCACTAGCACAGGCTTTGAAAAGAAACACTAAAGGGAATTCTTTAGGCGGAAGGAAGATGATCGCAGAGGAAACACGGGAAGGCGAGGGAGCAGCAGGATGTGAGTCTTGACGAATGGACGTGAACGCTTGCTTCCGGCATTAACAGCGGCGTTAGTCACAGGAGTCCTGCACCTGCATGTGAAACGCGACAGGCCTGGAAAGCACGGCAGCCAGCAGGTGGGGAGGGGAGCATGGGGTGGAAGCGCCCTGAGGCCCGAAGGGGTGCACCCTCCTTTCTCCTGCACCCGAAAACCGAGAGCCCGCGCGGAAACCACAACGGTAACCGCTGAAGGGTGTATAACAAACAAGCTAACAGGAGTGAGAAGCTGGGGCTTTAAAGACGTTTCATTGACCTAGAGGAAAGGCGAGAAACAAGAGAAATAGGGATATAAAGCTGGAGGGCCACATATCAAAGAAACAGCAGAGAGCAGGTAAAACCAAACCACTTGTAATTATGTTAAATGTAAGCAAACCAGCAGCCCAGTCAAGCTGCCCAGTGACCAGATGCAGGCCATTGGCCACGGTTTACAGGAGGGGAATCTGAGGCACAGGGTCAGGTAACCTGCCCAAGGTCGTCCACCCAGGAGTGCCCCTAGCAGCCGCCTCCGGGGCCTGAGCACATCCCCCCCAGGAGCTGCCTCCTCTGTCCACCCAGGCCCGCTTTAGGCCACCCTTCCTCGGACCACACCCACAGTCCCACGAGCCCCTCACAGGGCCTCGCTGGCGGCACATCATTGCCATGGTGCTAAGGCAAACTGGATCCTCGCTCCCTCCAAAACTGAAATGGCTTCCTGGATGCTCATTTGCTTCAAGACAAATGCAGTTGGTCTACAAAGGTCCTTCAAGACAAGGCCTCTGCCAGCCCCCCACCCCCTGCAGCCCCGCGTCCTGCGCCGGGCAGGTCACGGCCATCATTCCGTTCCACCTTCACCACCCTCCGAGGCAGGCAGGCATTCTTTACCTCCTAGACAGGATGGCACACTCAGGATGGTTAAGCGGTGACCTGAGCAAATCCATTTGTGCGGACAGTAAATGTTTACTAAGTAACTACCATGTGCCCGGCACTCTCCCAAGTGCTCGGAAAGGAGCAGGGAACCGAACAGGCGAACATCCCTGCTCTTCTGTGGGAATACAGTCAGCCCACTGCCCTTCGGGATCCATGGGTTCCACATATGTGGGTTCAACCAACCGTGGATGGAAAATACTTGAAAAAGTTACATGGTTGCTGGCATGTATACAGTTGGGCCTGTGGAGATGATGATGGTTGTGCATTTGAGCTGAACATGTAGAGTTGTTCTTGTCACTACTCCTTAACACTACAGCAAAACTACTACGTGCACAGCATTTACATTGTATTAGGTGTTATAAGTCAGCTAGAGATGATTTCAAGTATATGGGGCCCGGGCGGGCGTGGCTCAGCGGGTGAGCACTGACCTAGGATCCAGGAGATCGGGGTTCGATTCCCGGTCAGAGCACATGCCCAGTTGCGGGCTAGGCAGCCGATCAATGACTCTCTCATCATTGATGTTTCTACCTCTCTCTCCCCCCCTTCCTTTCCTCTCTCTGAAATCAATAAAGATATGTTTAAAAAATAAAAAAATTAAAAAAAATAAAGTATATGGGAGAATTGTGTATATTGTATGCAAATACTATGTCATTTTATATAAGGCACTTGAGTGTCTGCAGTTTTGGTACCTGAGGGGTCCTGGACTCGATCCCCGTGGATACCGAGGGACGACTGTATTACGTGTGTATACACCGTGTGTTGTGTAGATACCATATATATACCGTGGTAGTTGGCGGGAAGTGACGGGAAGAGAAGGTGGGGAGGAGGGAGGGTGAAGTGGATTGCCACGTTTTACAAGTGTGGTCAGGGAAGGCTGGGGACACACTGACATTCAAGTAAAGGCCGGAGGAGGTAAGGGAATGAGCCACACAGGTGTCTCAGGCAGGTCGTCTGGGTGACCCAGGACATGGGCTGGGAGTGGCGATGCCTGAGGGCAGCGAGTAAATGGCAGGGCGGAAGCACCAAAATGTTAAGAACTTGACCCCTGCCCGGCCAGCGTGGCTCAGCGGTTGTGTCGATCCTTGAACCTGGAGATCAGAGTCAGGGCACATGCTGGGGTTGAGGGCTTGATCCCCAGTGGGGGGCGTGCAGGAGGCAGCCAATCGATGGTTCTCTCTCATCATTGATGTTTCCATCTCTCTCTCTCCCCCTTCCTCTCTCTGAAATCAATAAAAGGGGGGAAAAAAGAACTTGACCCCTGGCTAGACAGCTAGCTCCTCGGGGTGTGGTCATCCCCCAGCACCTGGGCACACAGGGGGCATTGCTAAATGAAGGCACTTGGACTTCAGTTTCGAGTGGGACAGTGAAGGGGCCCCTTTCCTCCGGCCGCCCCGCCTCCCCTGCAGCCCCCAGCACGCCTCCGCCCCCCTTTCCCTCTGAAGGGTGCAGTCTCGCCCGTCCCCCGTCCCGGACAGGAAAGGCATGGGAGAGCCTGCAGGGGCGGGGACCTGGCCTCACTCACATTGTCTCCTAACTTGCTTTAGGAAAAACAGCCATTAGTCAACTGATGTCCCCCGAGGCTCTAAAGCATGGGGTGCTGGGCCGCTGGGTTGCACTGAGCGATGCAGAACCATCACCCTGGGAGAGGGGAGCCCTCACCCTCCCTCTGGGTGGACAATGTCAGAGGTGGGAGGCCTGCAAAGGCCAGACCAAATGAAGACTGAACTCTAGGAGGTCCTACGAGGTAGCCCACGGCGCCCCGAGGCGGGCTATGGGGTGGCCTGCGTGGAGACGGCCGGGCGGCACAGGGCTGCAGGAAGGAGAACCCAAACATTCACCTGGGAGGACTCAGGGGCCCGCCTGGGCAAGAGGGGACACCGGGCTGCGGACAGGCCTGAGGCACATCCTGGGGGGCCGGCGGCCTGCAACCATTCAGGGGCTTTCTCCAGGAACACGGACAGGAGGGAAAGTGTTCAGGGAGGCACTGGTCATCCAAACACTTGAAAATAACCCTGCAAATTCTGAGGACACAATGTTCTTCCAGTACTTGCTTAGCTACTACACATGCGCGTGGCACGCGGCTGCCCTGCACGGTGAGGCCCGAGCGGCGAGGGCACTGCCTGCCAACTGGGCCGAGCCCAAGGCAGACTCCCCGTTCAAAACCGGAGCGGTGGCAAGCGCTGCACGCGGGCTTGCCCTGCGGTGCCTCCCCGCCCGCCCTCAGCCGCGCGCTGCTGTGACCTGGGCTCGTGTCCGGGGCACACGAGGCTGGGTTCTCCACGGCGACACCCTGCTCTACCCGCTCACCGGCACGCGGGGCGGGGAGCGAGCCCCGCAGAGGCTGCCGGCACCGGCTCGCGTCTCTTTGGTAGCGGCGAGCGTCAGTGTCCCCGTGTGGTCACACGAGGTAGGACACCCTCGACGGAGTCCTGTCAGGAGCTGCAGACTTCATCAGAGCAAAGCTGTGAGGGGCAAAAGGGGGCCGGGAAAGACGGTCCCTTCTGGACGGCTGCTCCCCCACCACGGAGGGAGGAGGGAGGGAGCCCGCTGGGCGGATCGAATGCGAGCGCCCCGCTCCACCAGGACGCCTCCCCTCGTGGAGAAGTGCAATGGGGATGCCGGGCGGTGAAAATCAGAGATGCTTGGGCTTCTCGTTTTAAAAGTTTACACAGAGAGTATCTGCATGCGTCCTCCTGTCACTTGCTTTTTCAGTAACAGTACAGCTTTAAGGCATTTTGTACACATACATGTAGTACCAATATGTTTAATTTCCAAGGCTGGTCAACACCAAAAGGTATAGTTTGGCAATGAGGAGTATGGCTGGAAGGGCATCATGTAATAAATTTATTGTCTTTTGTTACACTTTCCACTTTTCTCTTAATTCCAACTGTGACATAATCAACTGCTATTCCAGGAATAAAACTTTTTAAACATAAAAATATAAATTCTGCTTATTAAAAGTGCATACACCTTGAATGAGACATACAAATAAATAACAGAAGTCAGTGGCACATCCCATGCACTTGCTCCAAAATAATTTTAAATGACACACTTTTCTCTGCCTCAGGGAAGACACCCTGCCTCCCACATGACTGTACAGCTAAGGAAAGTCAGAGGGCACCCAGGGGTGCGCGGCCGATGCCAAAGCCACTTCATGTAGCGCTGTGACGTGCAGCCTTAGGGCAGCCATAGAAACCCGCCACGTTCCACGAGAAACTGGATGGGCATGGGCTCAGTTTTACCCAGTGGTGAGAGGCAGAGGGAACATCGGTGCAGGTGGGAGAGCCCGCAAAGAGCCTCAGCCCGCCGGTCATGACCTCGCCCCCGGGAGAGTAGCGCCCGGGAAATCCTCCATCACATCTCCCGGCACAGCGCCCTTGCCAGGGCCTCTCTAAAGGAGCACCCCGCCGGCGTGGCTTTCCCTCTCAGGAACCGTTCCTTTCTCGTAGGCGGCATAATGCTCCGTGGGATGAACCCCCTGAAGCCCTGGGACGCACTCAGCTCACCAGATTAGAACTGCTTTCCACCCGCCTCCATCGGTAACAAATATGGCCAAACTTCTGGATGAGTATTATTTGATTTTTTTTAATTACATGAAAAAATACCAAAGGTTACCAAAAAAAACCCTCCAAATAAAAATGCTTCACATTCGTTTTTAAACTTAAAAATGCTTCCGGAAACTACATTCTGGAGAGTGAGCTAAACGGGGAATTCGGGGGCAGCCTAGGGTTTGCTATTATAATTACTACAAAGAAACCACCATTCTATCAAAAGTGGGGACAGGTTTTCCTAGGCCACTGAAGGCTTCACTTCAACATTTTCTAGCTCAGTGACTTCCCTATCCCCACCCCACCCCTAGGCCTGGCCCTGCTGTGACCCATGGGGACACTGCCTACCCATTCCCACCAGACTGGCAAGTGCTTGGACACCCACCAAATGCTCCAAGTTCTCAAATTGGGCCTTGAATCAGAAAAGCCCCCAGACTTCAAGCAGGAGGTTGGTATCGGTTTCAGTTTTTCTTTCCTGCCCAGCACAGGGAGCAGTCTCACACCCGAGTGCTTCTTGCCCTGACTGAACTTCAGAAACCCCTGAAGTTTAGCATCTGCAGTCACTCCTGGGACCCGCCGCTACACTATACACAAAGCATGCAAGGAGAGGAACCTGGGTGTTAAAAGTTCCCTAGACGATTCTCATGAATGCTGGGTGTCAAACAGATCAGTCACTCAGAAGAGGCCTCACAGAGAATCAGGGACAGTCATGTGAGATTTGAAGAAGCCTTCCAAGTCCATTATGGATCTCACTTTTCCCCCAAATTGGGAAACACGAGACTAAAACGAATGTGAGATGGATCTAGAACCTAACCTCCCGACGACGCTACCATAAATCCCATGAGCTTAAGTCTTCATGTGACCTGTGGTTGGGGAGCTCAGTTTTCCAAAATAGTAGCTCTAAGTCTCTAAAAAAGCATTTTAAAATTGTTAGTACAATTAGAAGCCACATTCTCTCGTGACCACAGTAGAACCTAGAAGATATAAAAAATTAAAATCTATAGAAAATGGCAGGTTATTTTTGGAACATTCCTATACTTCAGGAAAGTCTCAGGCTAAACAGTCTATAAACCAGCATGTTCACCTCCCAGCCCCTCTTGCCTGCACTTACTTTACAGTCTCGCCAATGACCAAAAGTTGGCCACGAGAAACGTGCAAGCAGAGCAAGAAACCAACTCAGGCTCTCCCACACTGATTAACCACATTTAATACACCACAAATTCGAAAATAGAGCTCCATAGTCTAAGAGTTGCCTTTTAAAAAACTTACATTTAACGCAGTGCACACTGTTTGCTAGCTGCTCTGCACCGGCAGTGAGGGAAGCGCTCTGGATCAGATCGGAGGGAGGCCTCGCACAGCTGTTCTCACTTCTCGGGGAAGGGACTGGTTGTGCTCAAAACACAGCTGCCACACACACTCCCGGAGCCGACCAAGGGGCAGCGCGGGACACTGCTCACTAAAATCGGGCACAGGGCTCACCCCCAAACACCCCATCAGGCTTGGCAGTAACGCAGCCTTATGAGGTCAGACGGACAGCCTGCACAGTAACAGCCAACTTCTGTGTTTACCATTAGGACACAGGCCCTGGCGAGTCAGCACGTTTTGCTCTTTTCAATTCCAAATAATACAAAGTTCAACCCACTTCACAGAATAGGTTTTATTGAAACTGTGCTTATTATTTGCATACTATCTCAAAATTCCAACCCAGAAACACTAATTATCTTTGCATCCAATGATTATAGTAACTTCCACAGGAAACAGTAACTTCAGCTACTCAGTAATTTTGTCAGAATGAAATGTAACATCGGATGTCACTGTACTTGAAAAACATGTTTATTTGAAATAAATGAGCTTTGTTCACAGCTCTTCTCTGTTCCATTTCCCTAGAGGCTGCCACTACTGTCCTTTACATGTTGCTCCTGATTTTCATGACAGTTATTTCAGAGGGATGACATTTTCCTCTCACCACCCCCCGCCCCAACCCCCACATCCATCTCATACTAACACGGATGAGCGTATCTTCAACCCCCAAGGAGCAGAAACTGCTCCGTCTGATGTGGCTGTGCAGGAAAACATCTCCGGAGGTGAAGGGCACTTTGGTTTCCAGGACACACTTGCTCAAGAGACCAGCAGCCTTGGCCAATCCACACAACCCGTCCACTCTTGTTCACGAGGACTATCACTCCACTTAGGACGCCATCGGCACCGCCATCCGTCCATCAGCTCCTCGGCCACAGCAAACTCCTGAGCCTGCCGCTTCCTTCCCCCGCAGAGCAGGCCCTCAACGAGTGTTTGCAGAATGAATGGATGAATGAGTGAGGAAAGAATGATTACAAGAGCTGAGGGCAGCCTCCCAGCAGTGACAATTCTTTACACCACCACAAAGACTCCCACATCCACACGCTGCTCTAGCGGAGCCTCACTTACTCTCCGGCTGCTGTCAGGGAGAGAAGGTACAAAGGGTGGGAAATGGTCTTGACATGCATGGGCCTAACTGCTCCCACGGGCTTCCGCATCCTACAAGGCATCACAGAGGCAAGGCACGGGGCCCTCTTAAGGAATGATGGAGCCTCAGTGCCCGGATGTTTACGGGAAAAGAAATCAAGGAACAAACTTTTTAAAAGTGGAAAAGCATTACAGATGCAACTCTATGGTTGGTGATTCCTCTGCCTACCAGAAAATGAGTGCTCGTATCAGGCCCACCCGGGTGGCTGTCAACCAGGAACCCAGGCCTAACACCCTTAACAGGTGGCTTCCAGCCCCAACACACTATGTTCATTGCACCAAACATCACTGAGAAAATAAAAAAACAAACACCAAGTCCCTAACCTATCAAAGAACTGAACTGAACCAAGTAACAATTCCCCATATTTTACACCTCAAAGAGCACCTCCAAACTTCTGGGCAAAATATCCTTCTTGGAGGCTTCAAGTTTGTACCTGGTAGTTAGCAGTAAAAATTCCCATTGCGCAAGCACAGAAACGTAATAGCTCAAAGAGGCCTAGACAACGCCGTAATACTTCCTGATTTTTCCTACTTAAATCTGATACAAGGACTAAATTCCACAGACATACAATTTTATAGATACTGAAATTTTATTTCTAGATCTCATGGAAAATTAAAGGAGTTTGTAGTGGTTTTTTAAAGACACTAAGCCAATGGAAAATCCATTCCTGAAGCACTCAGGAATAAAAATATTTACCACTGTGAGAATTAAACTATTTTCTATTAATGCTTAACTGATTATAGCCTCCCCAAAGGTGTTAATAAAACCTTTTACGTAGCCAAACTATCATTCTAGGATTTTGCAGAGCTGCAGATAGATTTCAAATGTGGTTTACCTGCGAAAGAAAGATGAGAGGTCCCAATCAAACACTGAATTCCTGACACCGACGATCCCGTATCTGTGACACAGAAAACCAGCAGTGGCCAAAGGGACCAGGCTGTTGCCGTGCCGCCGGAAGCCATGGTGACATCACAGGCAGCTGGGCACCGGAGTCATGCTGCCGCCGAGGACAGCAGTGCTGCTCTGGGGGCCACAGACACCTGGGCAGGACTGAGTGCAGTGGGCCAACCACCGTGTTCAGTAAATTTCATGGAGCACTACGGTAACTTTCACAAAGCAGAGTGAGTCTTAAATATCGCAAGGGTCGAAAATTGCAGCTACCCTCAATAAAAACAGCCTCCAGGCTTGTGAGTTACCTGCTAATGCTCAGATTAGCAGCAAAATAAAGTTAAGTAACCTACTGGAAACGTTTCCCAAGAGCTATTCATGGAAAAACAACAACAAAAGGCAGTGCAGAATTCACAGCTGTGAGTGTTCAGTTACCTCACACACAGCGACGCTGGAGGGGTTTATAAATGGTTCTGTGCACCAGGAGTTCAGGGCAAACTTGAGTGCGTGGTTTTTTTTAAAGTTAGTATTTAAGAGCATATAAACATAGCATGCTGTATTTCGTGGCAAGGTGACAAATGCTATTCAAACAGAATCAGAATCATGACTCTCCTCACATTTAGAAAAAGGAGGAAAATAACTAAAATTGCCAGGATACCTCCAGGGAGCCTGGAAAACCATGTACCTTCCTCATCTGTGTGGTTCTCGTTTTCTAACCAAGTGCAATTTGCACAGTCAGCGTGCACATGCTCCAGTCCTGCTGAGTTCTGCATAAGACATGAAATCTTAAGCACGAAGAAGGAATGAATGAATTACTGAGCAGCAGTCACACTGAGCCGGGAGGAGGGATAAGTGTGTATGTGATACTGTTACACATCGCTGCACCCATCACGTGTGTGTGTGTGTGTGTGTGTGAGATACTGTTACACATCGCTGCACCCATCACGTGTGTAAGATCCTCTGTTACACATCGCTTCACCCATCACGTGTGTAAGATCTTCTGTTACACATCGCTTCACCCATCACGTGTGTAAGATCCTCTGTTACACATCGTTTCACTCATCACCGACTCCCAACTCCCCACCTCAGCAACTTCTCTCCTCTATAACTTACAAGACTCTGTGGAAATGTGGGCATGGAGCTTTCAACGTCCTAACACAGAAAAAAGCAAACCAGAGGAGGAAAATGGTAGAGACTCGTGCATACGGTTGAGAATCTTTTTCCCCCAGGAATCTTTCAAAGGTGTTAACTGCTCTACATTTCAAAATCCCAATAGCCTTCACTAGCAAATTTAGAGGGGGGAAATTTTACTGCTAGTGACTGGCTTTCTGGATCTCCAATTTGCCATCTCCTGGGACATATCCCAAGAGTCAAGACAGCTTATGGTACACACACCTTTGCGGAAATGAAAGTAGTGAAAGATCACTTCTCCTCGAAACACGTCCACATGTGGCAGTAAGAGGAGTGTGTCACTGGCAGGCCACCCTCCTCTTAATCCTTCCACTGGTACACATCCTTCCGAGACTAGCTGAGTATATATACCTGAGAAACATTAGTGTTAAAATATTGCCCTTTACAAAGACTGGTAGATGGGGCCAAAGTGCAGAAAGCAACCGTTTTCTCTCGGTTTGTTTCATTGTTAGTGTCACAGTTTTTAGAACTCCTGGTGCCACGTGACAATTGCCAGTGAGGACAAGTCCTGCTCAGCTGAAACCCAAGTCTAATGAGTCATCCTTCTACAGAGCACAGTAACGAGAGCTTAACTGGTTCCCAGGTTCCAAACCCTGGTGTCCAACAAGCCATTAGAGTTCTCTAGAAAGAAATATGCTGAAGGGACTGTCGGGGTATCATCTGTAATTTTTCCAGTTAGCTCGGTATCAATGCTTTGCCTATGGCTGTTATTTGGTTCAATGGCAGAATAAGGCGACGCTTTTAACAATTTGCAATTGAATTCTGCACACGCACACACGCACACACACACGCACACACGCACACAAGCACGCACGTCAGGCACATGACCCAAAAAATACAAAACAAAAGCATCGAGGGCTTTGGTGGGAGGGAAGGGTTCTAAATAAATAAACAGCTTTCCAGGTAAACACTGGGAGTGCAGCAATCACTGAGGTTTCTGAGAAGGCCGTGCAGAGGCTGGCATGCTCGAAGGTAACTTTTGGGAGGATTTCTCAGCAGACTGCCTGCCACCAGGAGACAAGGGCGCTCCAGAGTCTAGCTGGGAAGACTTGGATTTGCGACTGGATAGCAGGGAATGTCTAGCAGAAGCAGGGTCCTTGGAGACAAGCTGTTCTTTTCCAGCTGAATTGGCATTTGGCTGCTGGGACCCTTGAGGCTGGTGCCCTTTCTCTGCCTTATCATCACCGGCACTCTTACAGACTGACCTGACAGAGCTCCCACCTGCCTTCTTAGAGAGCAAGGTGGTCTTGCCAAGGTCAGTGGACCGCCGGGTTTCCTTCTGTCGCAAGGCAGACTTAAAGAAAGACAGCCCCTTTTCGTCTGACTTGCTATCCCTCTTAAGACTGGTCTTCACGCCCATGTTGGGGGAGCGCAGGCTGGCCATGGAGGAACTCCTGACATGCTTTCCATCCCCCCGGCCCTCCCCCGCCCTGGACTGGCTCACCCGAGGGGAGTTGGGTTTGGAGCTGGAAGTGACACTGGCTCGGTCAGAAACCAGGCTCTGTCTGGAGCCCTCTCTACTTAAGCTCCTATCTGAAGTCCTGCCCTTCCCAGGTGGGCAGGGGCCTCTCACAGCAGGGCCCGAGGCTTTTTTGGCAGGTATGGAGGAAGCAGTGTGGGTAAGGGAAGAAGCTGACTTCAGCTTCTGGGACGAAGGAGAGGCCACTGAGTCCTGGGTTCTGAGGGAGGATTCCTTTCTGGGAAGGGCAGGGGCCCTGGAGGGATCTGCTCTGCTCCGTGAGCGGGAGGGCTTTGCAGAAACTTTGGCAGGAACAGGAGACGAAGGGGATGTGCTGGACTGAGATGACCCTTGGCTTGCCAAGACAGACCTCCCCTTCCGCAAGCTTCTATCTGGCTCAGATGCGCCCTTGGAGCTGGGGGAGTTCTTGGCTGTGCTCTCTGGTTTCTTTGTGAGAGAGCCTGAGTGGCTTGGGGGTTTCACCTCTTTGACGGGAGAGCTGTCAACAGAATCGCTCTGATCCACATAAGCTATCTGGTTATTGTTGTCAAATGGATCAGAGACGGGGGGCAAGCAAGCCCCTTGTGCTGAGAGTCTGCTCTGTGTGTCCACCACACTGGAGTTCAATCTGTGGGCATCTGACTCGTCTCTGAACACACCTTCCATGACAGCCAGAGGGGCCCGGCCCATGGCCCTGGGCTCCCGTCGACTGGGAGCATCGCCTGGTTCCTGGTAACTGCTAGAAAGGTTCCTCAAGCTACCAAAGCAAGAGATGGAGACCTTGTCATCCACTGCCTCGCCGATTTTCTCCAAGGTGGAGGCGGAGGTGTGAATAGGAGAGTCCCCTGAGAACCGGGAAGGAGAGTTGGAGCGCATCTGCAGCTTAGCAGACAGGGACCAAGAAGGTCTGATGCAATTTTCATTGACAGCCAAGGGGCTGGTGACAGAAGACCTGGATGACAAGCTCTGACGCTGGACACTTCTCACGAACGGTCGAGTCGAGAAACCTCCTGAATGCAGCAAAGAGAATACCATTAAGCTAAATAGAAAAGAGCCCCAGTAGCACCGAACAATGAAAGGAAGGAAAGCATCCTGGAATGACAGAAGCATGACCCTCAGAGCCAGCATGCCTGGGGTCAAGGAGTAGCCATGGGACTTCACCTTTTCTGAGCCCAGTTCCCTCCCTTATCTGTAAAATAGGGACATTCTAACTTGGGGATCGACAAACTATCTCTTTCCCTTCCTGCTCTACACCAAGGGTCAGCATAGTAAATATTTAAGGCTTTGTGGGCCCCTGTCCTGTGCAAGCAGCAATGGTGACACACAAACAAATGGGCATGGCTGTGTCCCAATAAAACCTTATTTAAATAAAGGCAGGGACCACATTTGGCCTTTGGGCTGTAGCTTGCTGACCCTGCTGTAACTCACAGGGGTACGTGAGGAGTAAATAAAATCTTTTAAAGTCCTGTGCCCAGCAAGGCACGTGGCACTGCACAGATGCTCAATAAACGGGAGCTACTGACCCAGCTTCAACTTACTAAGGACATCTGGGGCTCTCAGAAGGAAGTATCTGCCCAAGGTGATACAGAAAATTAGAGGCAGAGCGAATATCAGAGTCATGGTCTCCAGCCCCACACTCAGTGCGGCATGCAGGTGCCTGTACTTGTTTCCCGTGAAAGCAGATCCATGCAAAGGCAGAGAGACAATATACTCCTATCCTGAAGGACTTAAAACTTACTAAAAAATATGAGTAACTAGAACAATATAACTCCTACGATGAGTGACTTAAAAATTCCAAAGAAAATATTCTAAGTTAAATTCCATACACACTTGCTACTGTAGCTGAGGATCTGTCAGTCTGTCTGGAGGAGACTGTAGGAGACAGGCCCCGTCCTGTGGGCACCACCAGCACACTAGGAGATAATGACACTTAAGAGGGTACAATTCTGCCCAGCTGGTGTGGCTCAGTGGTTGAGCATCGACCTAGGATCCAGGAGGCCACGGTTCGATTCCTGGTCAGGGCATATATACAGGCTCGATCCCCAGCAGGGGACATGCAGGAAGCAGCCAATCAGTGATTCCCTCTCATCATTGATGTTTCTCTCTCTCTCCCTCTCTCCCATCCTCTCCCTGAAATCAATAAAGATATATTAAAAAAAAAAAAAAAAAAAA